GTTATATCCGTATATTATAATATATTTATCTGTGTTGTCTCCATCGTTGGCACCGTGTTTGAGACAAGCTGTGATAGTGTTTTTGACACTCGCATGTTCATACTTGAGGAGAAAGCGTGTATTCATGACTCGATGGGAACTCTGGGGCATCAATGCGCTTATTTTTAAGTAAAACTAAATGTGATGTTTGAACACGTTTTCCTACAATGGCCAAACATTTGAGTGTCGCTTTTTCCTCCATTAGGCCATGTATCGGTTGTTGAATGTACTCGAATTCCCATGACAAAAATAAAAACTCGTCTCTTTACATAAAAGTCATAAAAATGATTCACGTGTACAGGCGATAACTAGTCTTGGAAATGTATATTGTAGGCAAAGGAGAGAGTAGCAAAAATCAAAGAAACAAAAGAAAACTTAACTTTCTAAACTGGAGTCTTCTAAACCTTCGAAATCACAGTTTGCTTAATGAGCTAAACTGCTGAGGTTCTATGTCTTGAAAACCTTTTACATTCAGAAATCTAAAGTTGATTTTCACACCCTCATGAATAGAGAATAATAAGAATGATTAGAAAGTTCACATGAGTGAAATTGAGTAGATACCCTCGCTTAAGAAATTTCAAAATCATTTCTTTAAGAAATCTGATCTTTAAAAACGCTATATCTGGATACTTTGTCGTATTGATTACACTGAGCAACCCAATTCTTTGAATCAAAGAAAATCTTGTTACCCTCATCCCGTTAAATATTTTCTTTTAATTAAAAAAAATTTAGTCGATCCAAAAAAAAACATTTCATGCAATTAAATAAGAAAACCATGATTTAAAAAATAATAGTTTTAATAAACTTATATTTTTCTAATTAAAAGAAAATATTAAACGCAATAAGGGTAAAAAAAATTTTCTTTGATTCAAAGAATTGTGCATCATAATAAAATATCTTAAAAAGTAGCTCATTGAATTTGAAGAAAAAAAAACTTAACAAAACACCATTGTTTGTCGATTTCCAGATTTTTCTGCTGCTGTTCATCGTGCTGTACATATCGAGCTACGCGCTGATATCGCGCTACCGTTGGAGGGCGGGGGAGGACTATCTGACGACGGATGAGGATGAAGCCACGGTTTACCGAGTTAGCATGTGCCTGTGCGCGGTCGCGCTCGCCGTCTCGATCGGCGCGACCCTGTTGCTGCCGATTTCGATCGCCGGCAACGAGATTCTCATTCTCTACCCCAACAGCTACTACGTCAAGTGGCTCAACAGCTCTCTCGTTCAAGGTACGTCAATTTTACTCATATATCTTGGGAATTTGTTTTTTTTAATGATACCAACTCAAGAGGTTTTTTTACCTATCGCTTGTGCAAAAAAAAATTTTGAGTGTTGTATTTTTTTGTGGTTCGCCCTTTTAATGGTTTTCAGTGCAATGAAACTCTATCACATTTACGATATTTGAATCTGACGTCTTATTTTTTCAATGTCTAACGTGGTAGTTGGATCCAAAAATACCATGTTTCAAAATTTTATTAAAATTTAATATCCGTGAGCCAAAGACAACAAGAACACCTGCTCTCAGTCAATATAGTACATGTGTAACTTGAGGATATCTATTTTCAAGCTCATATTGGGTTATCTTTGACATTGAGAGGAATCGTATTCAAAAATATTTTTTTTAACTATAAACTAAAATTCTATTTAAATAAAAACAAAAATTCATTTAACTAGAGAAAAACAGTTAAATTGGTCACCAGGACCGTGGCTTTGAATTTTTTTCCTCTATGCTGACATAATACAAAAAAATACTAAGAACACTATAATTAAACTTAGATGTAATTACTGTAAAAAAAAAAAAAAAATGAAATAAAATAAAATAACATCACTGTTGACATCTTTTATTTCAAAAACTTTTTATTTTTTCACGCTCCTTTTTCGAAATAACCAGTAAAATGACTCATGCTTGAAAAACATATAATTAATAATTAATCTTTGTGAATTAAGAATGTACTTGAAACTTTTTCCGCTAATTTTATTGAAACTGTCAGAAAAAAAACTTGGTTTTTGTTGCATGCACAGATAAGCGTCAGTTCCGTTTTGTTTTTTTGTTTTTTGTGTTAAAATTTTTTATAACTCTCACAGTTAAAGATACATTTATACATTAATGAATTTGATAAAAAATAAGTGGCAAATTATTGTATTCCTCACAAGCCCCTCGAGTGCCACTCGTTGAATATACGTACTATTTCAGCACTAGTCACTTTAGATGTCAAGCTCTCTCAATATTTGTTTTTTGCAAAGTGAATTTACTTCACCTACTTGTCTCTTTTTCCACCCCAAGCTCTTTCTCCTTTAATTTAAAAAGTGTACCATCAACGCCATAACTTAACGCAAGTTTAAAATGTTCACAGGACTGTGGGAACTCGTATTTCTCTTCTCAAACGTGTCGCTCTTCGCATTATTGCCGTTTGCATATCTTTTTACCGAGTCTGAGGGCTTCGTCGGCTACAGAAAAGTAAACACGATTTTCATTATCACTTAACTTTCACAATATTATATATTATTGGTAACAAAAGCATTGATCAGTCACTGTAATTTTATTCAACAAGGGTATCATGGCGAGAGTGTACGAAACCGTGGTAGTATTGTGCCTCTTGGGAGCGATGGTATTAGGCATGACTTATATATTATCAGCCATTCTGGATCGCCAAAAATCGAGCCTCCACACTCTGCTCAGTAAGTTTTGTTTTCGTACTTATTTATGATCCGATAAATAATCTTAAATACAATACTTAACAGTAGTGCAAACTAAAGTTATGCAATCGTATGCAATATTAAAAATAAATTTTTTTTTTCTAGGTCTGTGGAGTTACTATTTGCCGTTTTTATACTCCTGTGTTTCATTCGTAGGCGTTGTCATGCTATTACGTAAGTATTATATACAGCATTTAAAGAAAAATAATATCAGAAATTGTTTACATGTAGAAATGAAATAAATATCACAGATTGTCTGCGATCTATTTTTAATTTAAATCGTTACCGAATAAATTAACAAATTATCACCTTATCGAGACAATATCACTTTCCAATTCACCTACAGTCAATTTAATAAAACTCGAAGGTGTTAAAAAATCCATCGATTATAGTGTGATCTACCAAATAGCACAGGCTCTAGGTCACGTTTTAATTCTTATGATTTGGAAAATTTTTCAACAGTATATTTAAATGACAACTTGAAAAGTTATTGTCTGCGAATTGTATTGTGGTTTAATTTTCGAACCAGCAACTTTTTAGTTTATCCTCAAAATATTTTCTTATAAACTTCACCACATCGTAACACGGTTAACCGTGTCTTTATTTTGTACTTCTGTATTCTCCGATTGATCCTGCCTGTACAGTCATGTGCTTGTCTCAAAGATAAAGCCATAAACGCATTGGATAATTGTGGTAATTCTAGAACTCATACAGAATCTCGATCAGAGATGGAAGGGACACTTTTATTAGATCAAAACTAATCGGAAGCGGAGATGTATTCTCTCGTCCATCGTAAACAATTGTGGTGACTCTGAATAACTTTTAGCTAATCGTACTGTCCTTGTACCGGCCGCAAATTTTTTAATTGTCTTAAATTTTGTTTGACGCGAAGAAAAGACCTTGTCGATAAGATAGATTTTTATTTTACAAACCAACAGTTAGCCTACGATCCCCCTGAATTACAAATTTATTATGACGAATGCACGTAAATGCTTGCAGTATGCACGCCGATAGGGTTCGTCAGGCTGTTCGGCGTCGTTGGCTCGTTCCTCGTCAAGCCGCAGTTCTTGAAGAATCTGGACGACGAGTTTTTTGCCTACAAACTCGAGGAGGATTGCATCAAACGAAGGTATGTCATTTCATATACACTGATACCCTCACAGCTGATAAAATGTCGCTTGCGAGGCGGAATCTTAGATCGATCGTCTTCGTCGTGAACTTTCACTTTACTCTTATTTCATTCGTAAAACCAGAATTTCGGAACTCGAAGCTCTTTATCTCAGTATCATCCTTTAACCAACTTGGCGAATGAGCGTCATTTATACAACAACCGTCTTTAGTTTGCATTCAGTTGTTTTTAAAGCGATTTTTATCCATTCAAATGATATGTTATCCTCCATCGATGCGAGTTTATAAATTATTACTGTTTCGTTAATGTGTCCTCTCTATTAATCACAGCTTCCTCTTTTTAAAATTTGTTAAAACTCATGATAATTACAGGCTACGTATTACCTCAGTTTTTTTTTAATTACCTCTTCATTGAATTAATTTGTTGTTAAATATCTCGTTTTTTTTTTATCGAGTGAACGATGCATACTTTTATCTATATGTGTTCAAATCCACAAACTTGATCTCGTGATGCATTTACATCACGATGTCACCAAAAAAAAAAAAATTGAAATTTTTAGATTGGATCACGCCAAAGCGACGGGAAAATCGTACGTATCACCGGTGCCCATGTCGCAACCCGGGACGGACAACCTGGCGCCCGACGCCGACGACGATGACTGCGATGAGGTATCATTGCGGCCGAACCCAGGTCTCATGTGTCTGCGCAACGGTGCCCTTCAGCGTGGCTTGGCCCAGCGTTTGGAGGAGATAAAAACCCGCAGGCAACAACTCGACGAGCAGAGGCGTACCCGGTGGGTACGGAGAACTCTGCTCTACCCTACGGCCATGCTCGCGCTGCTTGTCTTCTCCACAGCAACGGCACTGCTCGCGCTTCAGAATACCTTGCAGCTGCTCGTTGGTATCAAGGCTCTGCCTCTTAGTACCAGTGTAAGTTGAGGAATTTTTTTTGTTATAATAATGATAACGCAAAGGGGGTATCTATTTTTTCGGTCGGTAATTTTACCGGCTTTTAAGGATGTGGTCTTATCATCAAACAGTTATTTTTGAATTGGATGCCATGTTGGTCTAAGGCTGAAACACCGGCACATCGACCAATCTAACTTTGAGGGTTTTCACGCACTAGAATCGTAATGTACGATTTTCAACTCATCGAGATCTCGCGCGCTTGCAGCTGCATAGATGAGAGAAAACATAACCTATGAATATGCTTTTCTATTTTGAATGTCATTCGAAATCTATCGCTAAGTTACATATTTTTTATTGCTTATTACAAAGAGTCTAATTTCAACTATTAACCGATAGTTTTTCATAACTGAAAGTCATTTTTTCGCCAAGAAAACGTACTAGGGGTAAACATACCCATTACCGTACAGTTGTGCACCGACTGTTTTTTGTATATTTTACTACATCATTGTTTACTGTCAAATATTAATTCAAAACGTTTTAAATCGTTGTTTTGAGTTCCTTGTACGTAAGAAAAAATTTTTTTTTACCATACTTCCTACCTGTACCATACTACCTTTTTGAACTTCATCAGAATTTTGGAATTTTAAAATATTTCTCGAGATCTATGTGATTTATAAGTTTTTTATGCTGTTTCGAAGAGAAATTATGTAAATCATCAATAATTTATGTAGCAAATTACTTAATCAACATTAAATTTAACAGGTATACATATATACATTTGCACCAACTACTTTAAGTACTATTTTTCTCGTCAATCTATGTTCAAATTAAAGATACAGGACTTTTTTTTACGAAATCTACAAACACTAATTTTTGCAATAGGTGATGAGCCTTCTTTTACCTATCTTAAAAAAATGACGGGTCACGTGATGAAGCCTGTTCATTCGTTGTGTGACTGGCTGAGACTGATCAAGTGCGGGTAGATTTGGAAATAAGATTTTGAAAAATCAGTGAAAATTCATTCAAATTTGTATGTAGAAAATAAATGTGTGATTAAATTTTTGGGGGGTTGGCACGCGGAGCGTGCAGGGGGTGCAGCCCCCCTAGTAATGTAAAATTTTTAAATAAGGTAAATCATGTTGTTCAAGACTCGTTAGCATTCATAGACTAGACATAAGTTATAAAGATTTTATTAAAATTTTCGGTTCTTCCAGAAATTTACGCTGGGTATAAGCTCGCTGTCGAAACTGGGACCAATCGGTGCAACGCTCGAGGTCGCGATGATCCTTTACATGGCGGTGACGAGTGCAGTCGGTTTGTACACCCTACCTGGAGTCAGACTAGTCCGACCGCGGTTACACTCGACTCCTCTGACTCACGTGATTGCCAACTGTGCCCTCTTGCTAGTCCTGAGCTCGGCTCTGCCTCTACTCGCGCGCATTATCGGAGTGACGAACTTCGACTTGCTCGGCGACTTCGGGCGAATCGAGTGGCTCGGCAACTTCAAGCTCGTGCTCTTCTACAACGTCATTTTCGCCAGTGTGGCTATTGGCTGTCTCACGACCAAATTCACCGCTACGGTGCGCAAGGAGATCTACGCCAGGCTGCGCAGTAGTGTGCTCGGTATCTTCAAGCGGGACTGTAAACGCGCTCCTACCTTGGCAGCCAAGGACGAATAGACTGAATTTTGTAACGTTGGTGTTTTTTTTTTTTTTCAATAAGAGAGGAGCTTAAATCGGTAGATTTTTTAATCGCCTTTCCGACCGGAAGTTAAAAACTTTACTGTCGAGAAATGTTTTTCAGGTAATTAATTAGCAATGGATCGAAATTCGCAAGTTAGTTCACGCAGTTTTGATATTTCGATGTTGTGTTATTATTTAATATTTTAACGACACAGTGATATCCATGTGCTAGACTAATAGAAAATAATAGAAACACTCAAGTCGATTTTAAACGGATAAATATTTAAAAGATTACAGTTACTTCTTAAAAAAACATTTGTTTTTTTTTCGAATTCTGGGGGTTGAATTTTTTACTGATGATCCATATCCTAATTTTTCACAAATTGTAACACGAATTGTGCCACTGTTGAAATGTTAAGGATAAATTTCTTAAATTGAACTTGATTGAAGATCCTGGAAAAATTTGAATCGTCATTCTTGAGCACAGATTAAAATAAACCTTGTACGATTACTTGTAAATAAGTTATTGATTTTTTAACTTTTGGGTGCAAACGATTAACTGTAAACAGTTACTACAAATTGTAAGTAGTTATTTTTAAATTTTAAAGTAACATGATTTCTATTATCGGTGATGATTGGCACCCATGACATGTTGAAACAAAAAATTCGTTACGAGTTTTAGATCAAGTTATGTTTAAAATAAATTATAATGTATTATATTAGAACGAATACGAAAAAAATTTCGAAACGGGAAATAAAACGTGACTATGATAAATTATCAAGCACTGAAAAGTTACGTTTGTTTTAATGTATTGTCGTAATTTTTATTTTAACGTTTTTCTGTATTATAAGATATTTAAATTATGCCATAATTTTTTTATGGTAAATTTATTACATTTAACTTTACCAATAACATAAAAATTTATCGTTCAGAAAGTCGACTTTTAATTGAAAGTTTCATAAAACTTTAGAAGGTAACTGAGAGCTTTGGACTTTTTTTTCATCAAACAAGTAGTGAAATGCCACTGGTAATCAAACGATCTTCATCTGAATAACCCCTCTATTTAATTTTTATAAAAATCAAGATATCCAAAGCTTACGATAAAAATTTAAGTTATTATGTAGGTAAATAATATCAGACAAAATTTTTGTACTTTTTTATCTCAACATTTTTAGTCTTCTAAAGGTGTGCAGAGGACTGAATATGGTCGAGAGATGCGAAATGATGGAAGTAGATTTTCATAATATTATAACGACGCGAAAAAAATTTGAACAAACAATGGATTTTTCAATCCTTGAATTATCATAAACTTGTTTAACTGAATTCGATGCAGGTCGTCTCTCTAAGTTCGCTAATAAAGGGTATTGAACTATGATATAGATGATTAATAGTTGAATGATAATATACATGATTAATAGTTGCCGCTAATAATGTATGATACGAAAATGACAGTTTTTTATTCATGCAATCGTTATTTTTAATAGATATTTGTGTAATGTATAGTGATCGCGCGAAGATTGAGGAAAAAGTTCAGTATTTACGACGAAAAAATTAAAGAGCAATAGCGCCATTGTCTATTTTTGATGAAGCTGCATCGTGTAAAATATAACACAGCTAAGGTTACTAAACGTATATTTTTTTCGTCTTGTGCTGGGGGAATGACCTAAAAATTTCATGGTTTGCTTCTCAGTAGAAAAGGACTGAAACGTGGTTGTATGAAAAAAAAATCCTAGACGATACAATAAGTTCTTCAACTACGTTTTATTTGACTTTTGAAAGCAGTTTTACGATAATGAATAAGTTCCCCGTGATCGCTTGCTTGATGCAAGAAAAAGTGCATTTTCAATGCATCTAAGCATGGACTGTATCGTTATTGTGTACGTATACTTTTAAGCTGATCGAAAATCATACAGTTTTCAATCAATGAGCATTATAAAAAAAAAAACTTTATCAGATGACTTTGAGCTCTGAACCTAATTCACCATGTTAAATGTTTAAGTCCATTAGTTTAAAAAAATTGAAACATTTTTTTTTTTTTTAGAGATAAGCGTTTTATGTTTAATTATAAGTCTGTTTGAAAATATTTTGCAACAAGCTTATGTGATATGTTATCTCGTCAAGAAGACAATACCTTAGGAGCGAGTGCACTCGGCACTTTACAGATTATTCACCGTTACATTAAGTATGCTGTCATCCACCCCAAAGTACTGAAATTAAATTTTATTGTAAAATATCAATTTATCTACTTTTGTGTACACTTATTTTTTATTTCTTTGTACCTCACATTTTGTCATTACAACGGAAAAATGTAGAAAATCAAAATTGACAAATCAAAATTACATCGAGACAATTAACTTCTACATCATTACTATTGCTATTAAAAGATATTCTTTTACGAGAAAGTACGTTACACTTCAAAGATTCCGATTTATTATAAAGTTCGTATTTTATTAAATCAAAATAGTAATTCAATTAAAAAATGGTGAAACTTTATTTTCAACGTTATAGATTTTATTTACTGCTACCGTAAGTATGCTACCAATTCACTCTAAAATACTAAAACAAAATTTAGTTGTGAAATAATAAAATTCACCTTCGCATCTCTCTCTTTTTTTTATTTTTATTTATTATTCTGCATTCTGACTAAATATATTTAAAAAAAAACAGGAAATATACATCCATCAATTCAAACTATACTTTAACATTCAGTCTAAAACTATAATCGGTTACGAAGGGATACAAATAAAAATTTAATAAGATCAACTATCAAACAGAAGCTTGAAGAACTAATGAAGCCAACATTTATGAATTTTACTAAATTTTTCTCTTAATACACATATTTATAAGAGTAAACTTGTTATAAAATAACTGATTTTATTTTGAAGTCTCCCGGCAGCAAACACTTTTTTTTAACAAAAATGTAATCAGACTGCTTTAAAATTTATTATTAAATTTTATAAACTAGTGTCAATTACATAAACTATTTATTTTATTTGCAAAAAAGAATTTTGGTTTCAGGTAAAGAAAATAATTACTTACACTCCCATGGAATTTACCTAGTAATTGAGTGAAATAATTTTGACACGAAAGAACTTGTTTTCAAAAATATACTTCGGAAATTCAAAGTGATCAGTGATCCGTTGGGGGCGAGATGTGACAAATAAATAAACACAACTAGAGCGTATTTAAATTTTTTCTCTTACTTTGTTTTATTAATGCGCAACGTTTCGCTGACATATGTGTCAGCCTCATCAGGCTATAAAATTAAAAATCAAAAATTATACAACTAGCGATTTGGTAGACCCACACACAAAAACACAATAAATTCACAATATAAATTATTACCGCAGGCACGCGAGAATTCGTAAGTGTATTGACTTACTCGTCACCTGTCGAACTATTGACTGACAATAAATTGTACAACACGCCAGCGCTTATATAGGCGACGGTAAAGAGCGATGAACTCGATCGGGACATTTGAACTTTCTTAGTAAAGGAAGGTACGCTCGATTAAAGATGTTAACGTCTTCCTTTCTATTGATGTTATGTTAGTCCAGTTTAATATAAAGCATTTCAGAAATAGTTTTTTTTTTTTTTTGTAATTGGCTTCTTTGTCAAGGATTTTGAAGTTATCCCAATCGAATTCGTAGTTATAATTAATTTGATGTGCGCAAACGACTGAATCAGAATTTTTATTTTCAATGTGTTCACTAATTTGGACTTCAGCAGCTCGCTTTGTTTCACCCACATATGACGCAGGACAATTTTTACAATAAATTTATACACTACATTTGTCTGTTTATGTTTTTCCGTTTTATCTTTTCCTAAACAGACTACGTGGTTGAGTTTTTTGTTGATAAGAGGGTAGGTGTGAATATTGTAGGGTTTTAACATGGTTGAGATTTTTTCAAAATTATTGTCTATATATGGTACTAGCAGCCCCCCGTCTCGGCTTCGCCCGAGACTTACTAAATAAAACACCGGAGTGTGTTGACATGTAATGTGAAACATTTTCAGTTAGAAATTTTACACATATTCCTGATACATCTCAAAACAAAAATCTTCTTATTGAAAACATAGTTTTTCGGAATCCATATAGTTTATTTGGTCAAATAATAAGGTGTAAAAATTAAAAAAAATAATTATGCTAAAAAGTACCGTGCGTTCTTTATGCCATAAAATGATCGGTGGCCATAAAAAGCCGTTGATTTACAGTTTCTCCCGTGTAATTCACGAAAACGGCTATTTTTTAAAGCTGTTAAGATTTTAAACCCCCAAAAAATTTATATTAAAAAAAAATTTTTTTTCTCATATCTCACAACTTTATTACCAGAG